TGCTTGGCATATTGTAATATGCACATGACACACGGATAGGATCTTTGCTTTATGTTTTTATTTAAGGTTTACTTTGATTTCAATGATTTAATGATGACAGAAACAGATTTCTCATATAACAATGTTCTGGAAAAGGAAGCTATCAGAGTCGTTAACTTTTAAAGTTTTCCTGTGACCAAAGTGAAAAGGAAAGAGAGAATGATACTTAGGTATTCCTGTAGAACTGTTACAGGGCACCCAGTGTGAACTGGGCTGCCTGTCTGTGGGGCCTCAGTTGTACTACAGACACACACAAAAGGGTCAATAATGTGATTATTTACAAAAGGGGTAAAGAAAAGGAAACAACCCAGGGAAAGAGAGAAGGATACAAAGTAACTGGAAGATCTTACCTGTTTGGCTGACTTGGAGCTCTGTAACAAACTAACTGAAAGCCCTGAGTCACATGGTCCCAAGTGTCCCAAGAGTCTTTTCCCCAGAGGGAGCAAGAGAGCCATAGAAAATGGCACCCTATTTAACCCCTAAAGTCCCAGAATGCCTGCTTAGCTCCGACCTTAGGTCCTCGCAGTTCTCTCCCTGGTACTGCTGGGAGCTGTGGTTTCCAATCATTGGAGTAGAGGGTGGAGTCCACAAAACTCTGCAGAGTTCCTTTAGGACATGCTTCCCCTTACACAAAAATCACACCTCTTTGGAAGTTGCAAGCACCAATATGAATACTATTATACATAAAAACCAATTATGTGATTTTGTTATTTTAATTAAAGGTAACATTTCATAGGAGTAAATTTTAAATTACAGAGGTTTCGTTGTCTTCAAGGAAACATCCAAAGCAGACCTTACAAGAATACTCAAAGCTTACAAATACAAAATTGGATCTTATTCTTGTGAATATTTCCAATTTTCAATGGTAACAAGTTTCTCCTACACTGCTCTTCTATTGTAAGATTTCATCTCCTACACCTGCATCAACAGTCTTCTTATAGAGCTTTTTCTAGCAATGGATAAAAAGTTATACATGAAAGTTCACAGATAAAAAGATTTGCTCTATTTGAGTCAGACATACCATGTCTACTTTTTAAGAATTAAATACCTTGCTGAGAATTAAGTAAGTTAACACATCAAAAGGTAGTTAGAATGGCAAGAGAAAAGCAAGGGAGTTAATAAGCTGTGCGGTTTGGAATTTATCCTGTGGGGGAAAGAAAGCCCACTTGAAGGCTTCCTGCAGGGGAGTACCAAGATCTGATTTGCATTTTAGTATCTATGTCTGGACTGAGAAAAAACTGGAAAGCCTTGGCCCCTTGGTAAGGAGATCAGATAGGAGGCTGAGATGCCTGAGTCAGGGTAGTGGCAGTGGTCCAGACTGAAGCTTCAGGAAGCAGAATCCACTGGACTTAGCCAATGATGTGAAGAGGGGGTTCAGAGAAAGAAGGTAGTCAAGTGCCATTGCTGGAGGAGGACTCTGGACTACCAACTGTCCTGCTCCTGTCCTTCCTGGTGCAGGTATCACCCCTTGGAGGTTAGTTGTGGACCTGTAAAACTAGTTCAGGTCAGGGAAAAAAGTGAGATTACTTCCAGGAGGAAGCTTTAAAAGCCAGTGTGCCATTTCCTCTGTGCCAGTAACCAATACAAGATGGTGGCTGTAGATCTCAAAGTAAAGATGACACAAAGCAGTGATTTCCCACATCTTCTCCTAATCCAACTTAAACCTGAAAATGTGTCAAGCAGGTAAGCAGACCTTTGCTTTTTAACCTACTGATGATAGGGGTTCTTACTGCAGCATAATTCAGCCTATACTGACAGACTCAGTCAGAGAATAATATTCTTCCTAGATATGTTTCTGGATAAGAACAGTACTGAATATACACAAAGTACAAGCTTAGAAATCTGTGCTCATGGACAATAATATCTATTCGTACAAGATTATATTTTTAAAAATCAGCTTTATTTCTCAGGGAAGATGATGAGTGCATTTCTAAGAAAAGGTTTAAATAAGTATTTGAAAAATACTTATTATGATTCAAAATACTTCTAATGATTCATAAATTATTATGTAGTTTTCTATTTCAATATTTTCAAAAGTGGAATGTCTGTTTGTTTATCCCTTTTAAGCACCCATGGGAGAAGAAAAATGTATGGTTAAGAATGAACCTCCCTTTTCTACTTCCACATACTCCCCACTTAAAATCTGCCCCTGCCTCTGCAATGGCAGTACGGAGCTACAAATTACTGAGAATTAACTATATGCCAGGCAAAATATTTCATGCATTCACTAGTGTATTCAACCCACACAACTCTACTTCACTTTACAAGGAGGAAACCTGGAGACGGCCGCACAGCCTGCAATGTCAAGTACTGGATACTTCCAAAGTCTGTCATGATCACCAAACCTCCTTTCCTCTTGAAGGTAAATGCAGAGTTTTTTTTAGTCATGGGAATTAAGAAAATGAGCTCGTACTGGAATAAGTGCAGGAAAAGATCATTTAAGATAGGAAGGGAAGAAGAAAACGAGAAATATGCCTGGTGAGGGGGCAGCACTAGGAAATCAGAAAGGGGTAAGGACCTAGAGAGGATGAAGATGGGATGAAGAAGTTCTAGAAGGCAGAAGAAAAGTTGGACTAAGGTCAACATCAGCCTAAACTAAGCTTTCTGCTCACATATCCTGTGTTAACTCTGCAAACTGGTTTGGCTGAGTTACTTCTGTAAACACATAGCTCAAAACAATAGACATGAACAAGAGTAACAGACCACGATCCAGTGGCTTTACAGCTCCCTCTGCTTATGGCTCCAGTATGGATGTGGTGTGTACACACATCCCAGATCCTAGGTTCAAATCTCAGTTCTGTCACACTGCATGGTAGGTGGCTGAACCTGAATAAGTCCCTACATGGTTAAGCCTCCTCCATTTCTTCCTCAGTAAAACAGGGTTCTAATATCTATTTTAAAAGGTCTTCTCATGCCGCCGCCTCCACCCCCCGCCCCCTTTCTCTTAACCTCACTATGTCTGAGTGTTGACCCTGGTCAAGCTACTTCATTAGCTTAAACTACTTCCAAGTACAAGGTACAATTTCTCATGTTTAATAGTTAAAAGAGTCATTAGCAAGAGAAGATCTGTAGTTTTAAGTAATTAAATATATATAATGAATCCTTCTTATATAGCCAGGAATACACTAGATACTAAATAAACAATGAATAAGTTGAGGCCCTATGGTCAGAACACAGTGCTAAGTTTGAGTTTACCATTTATTTGCTACCCAGGTCACTTGAGTAATAACAGTTCTAGCAACAGAAGTCAACATGTGAGTGTGTTAGCCAAGCCCTGTTGTGCCTATTTGTTTTATTTAATACCCTCAGTACCTCATTAACTAGATACCACTACATTCCCCATTTTAAAATAAGAAACTGCACCACAGAGAGGATAAGCAGCTTGACCAAGGTCAACAAATTCTAAGCAGACAGCAGGACTCAAGCACCACTCCTATGCTCCTATTAGACAATAACCTGTATATGAACAATCTACCTTCTTGAAGACTGATTAAAAGGTCAGAATTATCTTTTTGTGGAAAGTAGGAATACAGATGAGCAAAGCACAAGAATACATGTTATGCTGGAAAACAAAGTAAACAGAGTGAAATTATTCAAGTTCCTTACTACCAAGCCTCTTTCTGAGTTTGAGGATACTGGATCTATTATAACCCAAGTCTGAGTCAAAGTTCATGTATATAGTTGATACTAGATAGTTGTGAAACGGGAAAAATTTAAGGCTTAGATCACATCAAACTTTATCTCTACAGAAAATCCTTATTTATTCCATGCCTCCACAAGTCTCTTTCTACAGTCATTGCTGCTGTTGGTTAGATTCAACAGATTTGCAAAAGGCATTTAAAAAGAAGAAAGGAAAATTAGTAAGATTAATTTCATCATAGCGGTAAGGTGGTTAGAATTCTAAATACAAAACAAAATGGGAAAGTCTCTAGAGTAATAACATTTTTGAAACAATATGTTAAAGTCACCAACATAAAAGACAACAATTATTGGTTTTCTTGACATCTGAAGGGTTGAGTTCCTGGGACTCTCTATATGAATTCTTTGTAGTTTACAACCATTGAATTTGCGGTTTTCATAATCTATTTCAAACCCTTCACCTGAGAAAAGGCAAAAGCAAGGGCAAGTAGGGTTGACAATTTGTCCCAGTTACTGAGTTTGTAAAGATCTGACTTTCTTCATTCAATCTTGTTCTCACTAGCAGTATTTCTATTCTGCAATCAGTTGCACAGAGACACACACTAGCTAGAGAAACTTAAGTTGAAAAAGCAGCACCTATGAACAAGCCAAAAAAAGTGTAGAAAATGTGTATAAAGGAGAAAAACACATGCCCACTGGACAAAAGCTTGCTTATTTTGCTTTATCCATTAGCGAAGATCTCAAAATGAAGTTCTTCCAAGGGAAGATAAGAGTGTTTTACCTGTTAAACTGCATTAAAGCAAATTACTTGGCTAAGGAAACGCTTATTACAAGTTTTATTGGAAACACCAAAATATGAAGTCTATAGCTATCCCACTATTATTTACCCAAGCGCTGTCTTCAACCTCTCATCCTTAAAAACTTGAGTCAAAGTCTTGGTTGCATTTATGCAAGAGAAAAACCTAAGGAATGTAAAAATCATTACTCCTTGTTGCCAAGTTGTTACAGATACAAGATGACCAATGTTTAAAATGGACATTTTCCATCATTTCTTCTCACAGTTAAAAGGGCTCTTCATTTTAAATCGAATTCATATGCCAAAAACAAAAAACAAAAACAACTCTCTACCTGATCTCCAATTGAGGAGATCACTTAGATTTGCTTTATTTGCATACGATTTCTCAGAGCTCAACAGAAAGTAACTCCTGCTGTCAATGTCAATGCTCTGCAGGCATTTATCTGATGGAGAGCCCTCCCAGGGCCATCGCAAGGCCGGTCAAAACCAGACTTGGAGAGGGGTGGACCAACGGGACACCACTTACCGAGAACACTGCATTCTGGAGCCCAAAAGGTATGGGAGTCAGTCTGGCGAGGGCCACCACTTTGAGGCCGCTTCCTCCCTCCACGACGCGAATAACGGCGCTCAGCTTCTCACTGTTTTGGATCTTGGTGGTCACCCAGGCGGTCAGTAGCCGCTTGCATACCACATGGGCGATGAAGGTCCCGATGAGGACGCCCACCACCATCAGTCCCATCCCCAGTAAGAAGCCATACAGGTAGCCGGCAGCCACGTTGAGCACGATGTAGCCCCAGCCACAAGGGAACGAGACGACGATGAAGCCTACCACGAAGAGCAGGACCCCCAGCAGCGAGTCAAGGGTCTCCACCCAGAGCAGGAGGTGCTGCAGGTAGCGGCGGACCAGGGCCAGGGAAGCGAAGCACAGCGCGGCCAGCACGCAGACCAGCACGAGGCTCCTGCACCAACAGGTGCTGCCGAGGCAGCAGCAGCGCCAGTTTCTCACCTCGGCCACGCCGACCACCACGCCGCAGCCGCTGCCGCTCCCGGGGCCGCCCGCTAAGGCTCCGCCCGGCGCGGGCAGCTCCGAGGCC